CATAAAATCAATAAATAACAAATGCAAGACCAACATGAACATATGATTGCAAACATCAAAAGGACATCATAAATGTTTTGCATCTTTGCAGGAATACATCAGAAGTGATTGAATTTACCTTTTTCTTTTGATTAAGCTGCACCTTAGCAACAAAGCATCCAAAGGGTTTCTAAGCAGCAATCAAACAAGCGCAACCCAGACCCAGATCACAAAACAAAAATTAAAAAATTAAAAAAAAAAAAAAAAGCAAAGATAACCCAAATCCCACTTAAATCCAAACACCTAGATGACCAAATCCCCTAAATATCACCAACTAATGATCAAAATCTAAAACCCAATACAATATTGTATAAAACCCACAACCCAAAACCTTTAAGAATTGAAAACCCACAAACCTGAAAAGCGCAACAAGTGAGGTTGAGAAGGTTGGCAACCCAAAGAAGGGCATAATAGAAAATCATAATGTATGATCTTCCATTGGAGAGCTTGATGACATTCTTCTTGGCGTGGAACGCCATAGTACACCACAAAAACGATTGCGAGAACCACCAAAAAGACATTGTACCAGATTCCATGGCACTCCATCGAGCTGTCGACGGAAAAGCTTTGATCTTAACTGTCAATTGTAGTTGGGAGGCTCGGGTTTGGCAAGTTAATCGAGTGTTCTTGAAGGTTCATCACTATTGTTGTGGGGACAGATTGGATTCAGGGACAAAACCTTGAAATGGACAACTCATATTCGAATTGGAGAGCTCACATTTTGAGATGAAACGAAAATCAAAAAATTTCAGAGTGAGATAGAGTTCATTAACTTGCAATTAGGTTTCTTTATAAGCACATAAGGCAAACAGTGGAGTTAGGAAGACTATTAGGGCCATACCTGCAAATAGGACCCATTCCTTCAACCCTACTCTCTCTACAACCAAGACATCCAAAATCCATTTCCTCAACCCTACCCTCAAATTTGCACCAACCAACCCCTTCTTTTTCTCTCCCTCAAATCGTGCCATGAAGCCCTCACATCCTACCCTCTTTCTGCAACCAACCAACCCTTCTCCTTCTCTCCCCCAGTTTGTGTAGCCCCTACCGACACCAGAAAGCCCCTAGTAGAAAATGACCGAACTAACATGCCCCGATCTCGATATCCTCCAAACACCAGGATGGACACGTGATGGCCGACACCCGAGGGTGACAAAGCCATTTTAATATGCATGTAAGTTATGAAGAAAGGACGAGCGTAAATAAAATATTTAAATTTAAAATCTAATTAAATATGCAAATGTGGGAACGTGTTCAGAGCATACAACTAATCAAGAATTCTACGAAATGAATATTATATAACAATAAGATTACAATGAAAGTGGGGTCCTACACCGAGAGGACTCAAAAGTATCGATACGGGAATATATCAACACCAGGATTGTACGCCTCGTTTCTAAGTTCTAAATGGGGCGCAAAACAAAACGTGAATGGACCAAACTACTACTACTACTACTACTACTAATAACAATGTACTAGGGTTAATAATAATAATAAAAACAGTGTACTTAACTAAGGGTATCATAATCGCCCGAAGGCATAACCATCACTCGAGGGTGAAGCTGTACAATACTGAGTTATGTCATTGAAGAAACATGGTAGGTCCCATTACCCAAAGGTGAAGCTATACGACTCTGGGTTACGCCAGAGAAGAAATATACATAACACACTGACTAGCTATGGCTAGTGAAGCTGTCTAACATTGGTTTTGCCAGTAAAGCTAGGAGTATGTTGTAAATATCTCACTGCTCATCCAATTGTGTCCTATGACCATAGAAAAATACATACTCGTGTTGTGTATATCTGTTGTATGATTACCCACTAAGTAAGCACCGAAAACATAAACATAATCTTTCCAAATCATAGCATCGGAGTCATAAATCCATAGGAGTTTTCTAGCTCAAATCATTTATCATAAACTATAATAAATCAATCATGTGAAACCATAAATTCATATCCATAAATCCATCATATATCGTAGGGCATAAAAGCAATAGCTTGTCAACCTTTCATAAAACGCAAGTTCGATAAATCATAAATAATGCGTAAAACATAAAATCATGAAATCATGCTTTTCATGAATGCAAGTCTAGTATTTAATAAAAATCATGCAATTTAAGAAGGTGTCCACTCATAGATACTCCGTCATCAAAGAGCCGTGCAAACTAGAGAGGACGGGATCACCACTAACAAAAGCACCTACGCACATAAGGGGAAAAATTAGTAAAACCCTACTAAAATAATTGAATTTGGAAAAATGGAGCCCGAATTTGGAATTAGGGGGTCGAATTATGCTAAGAGAGGTCCCGGGCAAATTTCATGACAAGTCAACGGTCAACCCAAAAAGTCAACAGAGACGTCGAGTCGGTCAACTACGTTAAAACTTCAAATTTTCACTAAACTGATACTAAAAACAGACTTAGGGCGTCAAAATTTGTTTAGGATGATTCTCCAGAAAATTAGTAAAAGTCAACTCAAGATATTCCAAAGAATATTCCAGGGAATATTCATCCAGGTCCAGTCATAGGATCGGATCCGATTTTGGGTTACATGTTGGGTCGACCTGATTTCAGGTCGTGAGTAGATCGGTTTCTGCAAAAAAAAGGTCAGAAAACAAAACAGAATTCGATTAGCTCCATATCGCAGTCCTAACCAACATGCCATATATGGATTTGAAGCTACGGAGGAGAGGAATAGAAATATATCACAGGTGTTCTGTGGCCGGAGTCGACCGAAAAACCACTCGAAGGTCGTCGGAAAACTTGGTTTGTCACTCTCGCAATTTCTAGTCGGAGATGGTGGAACTAGCCGGTGTGGGGGTGTGCTAGGCTCGGTGTCATCGTGCTTCATAGAGAAGGAGAGAGGGACAATGAGGCTCGAGAATGAGAGTCGCAAAAGAGGGAGAGAGAGAATGAGTGCCCACAGATGGTGGTGGTTGGTGGTTGGTGATGCATGCTGAAAAGTATGGTGAGTTAGGGGCCTTGGGCCTCAACTCGACAAAGAAGGAGAAAGAGTTTAGAGAGTGAAGGGAAAAGAAAAAGGAGAATGTGTCGAGAGTTTGGGCGAAGGGGGGAGGTGGGAGGGGGAAGGACACGGGGCAAGAGGGGATGAAAGGTTGAGTGGGATGTGGGTCCCACATGACACACAAAACCAACCCATAAAAGACAAACTTGAAATTATCTCTTGACGTGAAATTACCAACTTACCCTCGACGTTCCAAAAATTCGTATAATTCGGGACGAGTCGTTACAATCAAACTGCCCCCAAATCCTGTCCATTTAATTTGGATTGAAGCATGTAAAAGGGTAATTTCCCTACCCACTTGACAGCCCACTCCAGCCCAAAATGCACCAGCCCAAACACATTTTTTTTTTTTTTGTGAAGAAAGGCCCAAAAGCAAAAAGCCTATGACAAAATGGTGAGTAAGTCAAAATGAAGCCCCAATTCACAGTCAAGATGAATGGTGCAACTTTTTTTTTTTTCTTTCCAATTTTAGACTTAAGTAAGTTATGTAATGAATTTAATTAAATCAGAAATGAAATATCCACTTTACCCTCATTTGTATCGTGTAGAGCACTTAGACCAACTCTAACAATGGGCTAAAACCTATAATTCCCCTTCCCCCCCCCCCCAAAAAAAAATCCACTCCAACCCATGACCTAAAATTAACCTAAAACCTAAAACCCAAATGGAGGTCAAATACCAGCCCAAGTTTAGGCCACAAATTGGAGTGGACCCCATCTTCTGTGATTGAAACCTGGGCTGTGGAACCCAATTGCCCTCTGTCACTTGCTCCACGCGTAGCACGCAAGACCTTCAACCTGCATTCAACCGAGGTGGACCCCACACATGTGGGTGTGTCCCCCGATTTGTCAAGTTTTGTCTGTAGCCAACAACTACTTTTCTTCATTGGGTGGTGGTGGTAATTGGACCGTTGGTTAATCCAACGGTCCACATTCAAATATATTTTTAGTTCAAAAAATTATATGGACATTTTATATTTATATAGTTATTGAATCCAATCGCTTATATCGAATATAATCAAATCTAACGGTCCAAATTAAAATCCAACGGCTAAAATAATTTTAAAAAATTATTTAACTCAAAATTCAACCAAAAACTCTATAAATACCTATGTATTTGTTCAAACATCCACACAAAACTCATTTTTCTCCTACAATTCTTCCAATTTTTCTTTCTACCATTTCTTCTCATTTCCAAATTTTTCAAGATGGCAAAAGAGCATGTTAGAGGTCGTAATTGGACCTTTAATGAAGATATTGCTTTATGTTTGGCATGAATTTTTTTATTAGCGAAGATGGTCGGCACGAATCAAAATAGAAAGGTTTTGTGGGGTAAAATCGTTGATAAGTTCCATGAAAACTCCAACGCCGGTTGAAGGGAAGCTGGTGGTGTTTATGATCAACGGAAGATTATCAACAAAGTGTGCACTTTGTGGAAGGGAAGCTTGGAGAGAGCCATGGTTGACATGCCTAGTCGAATGGGCGCCTCAGAAATTGTGAGTTTCTTTGTTGATATTTTATTTGTCAAGTACATAATAGTATTTTGCAACTAATTGTTTTTATGTATTTGTTGGATGGGGTGACAAAGCAATGACAATTTACAAGACAAGAACTACAAGCTTTTAAGTTGCATCAAGCTTGGAGCATCCTCAAGGATTGTCCGAGATGGGGAACCGATGCGGACCAACAATGGGGAAGATTATTTCATAGTGAAGCCCCACCCCCAAATGATGTCAATGAAGGTGTGAATTTTGCCGACAATGAAGGTGTCGAACAAATGATCCCAACTTCTTCTTTTGCAAGGCCCTCGGGTAGAGATAAGCAAAAGGAAGCAAAGAGAAAAGGGAAGTCCCAAGATCCGATACGTGCACAATTTGCCAGCGAAATGGTAAGAATGAATGAAAACCATATCTCTCTCGGCTAGAAGAATCGGCCCAAATGCGTTTGGCCATGAAGGAACAAGGGGATAGGGAGCAAGAAATGTTCGAAATTAATTTGTTGATGGAGGACCTCGACCAATACACTTCAGAGAGGAAGAAATACTTACATGGTAAGCAAAAGGACATTTTACGAATGAATGCCACAAGGAGTATATTTCAAGATGACGATTCATCTCAAGACTAACACCCAAGTCCATCACCAAGTCAAGATGGTGGATATCATTATTAAGTTTTCGATTGTATTAAGTTTATATGGTTTATTCATTGTTTTTTTTTTTTTTAAATTTATGTGGTTTATTAATTGTCATTTGTATTAAGTTTATGTGGTTTATTAAATGTTTTGCGCCGATGTTCTGCAATAGGGTAAAGGAATGTATTTCTACTGTATCTTTTAGTATCCTCATCAATGGCTCACTGACGGGGTTACATCCAACCGAAGAGAGGTTTGAGACAAGGGGACTCCCTATCTCCTTTCCTTTTCCTAATCTGCACTGAGGGTTTCTCCAGTTTGATCAGGAAAGGGCTGGAGCGTGGAGTCCTCCATGGCTACAAGTTTACACCTAACGAGACTCCTCTTACCCATCTCTTCTTCGCAGACGACTCGGTCCTCTTTGGGAATGCTACGGTTGAGGAGGCCCAAGGTGTGGCAGATATCCTGAATGTGTATGCTAGCGGATCTGGGCAGGAGATTAATATGTCCAAGAGCTCGATTTTCTTTGGAACTTCGACTTCTAAGAGGACCAAGAAGAGAATAGGGGATACGCTGGGGATACCATATAAGGATGGTTTCGGGAAGTACCTTGGTCTGCAGGCTGATTTTGGACTCTCCAAAAAAGCTGTCTTCGCGGAGATTCGGGATAAGATTGAAGCCAGGTTAGCTGGTTGGTCGGAGCAATTCCTATCCCAAGCTGGAAAGGAAGTCCTGGTAAAGGCAGTTGCTATGGCTTTGCCAAACTTTGCCATGAGCTGCTTCAAACTCCCCATTGGGGTCTGTAGGGATGTAGAGAAAGCAATCCGGAGCTACTGGTGGAGAGGCAATGATCAGAGAAGGGGTATGTCATTGGATTTCATGGGATCGACTAATGAAACAAAAATTGGTTGGTGGTTTGGGGTTTAAGGATATCCAGTGTTTTAACCTTGCTTTCCTGGCTAAGATTGGATGGCGTTTGATCCAAAACCCCACTTCCTTTCTTGCAACTATCTTGAGAGATAAATACTTCCCAGGGAAAGGTTTCAAGGATGCTGGAAGAGGGAGGAACACTTCGTGGGGATGGAAAGGCATCTATGAAGGTCGCATGGTACTTCAACACGGTGTAAGGTGGCGGGTAGGAGACGGGGAAAGCATTAATATTTGAAAGGATCCGTGGTTACCGACACCTCAAACCTTCTTGGCTAACCCGATGGATAGCCTAGAAGAAATTAAGGTACGGGATTTAATTGATCCGGTCTCAAAGTCCTGGAAGGAAGAGGTCATCTTGGCTGGTTTCAATCGGGATGAAGCGAGGAGAATTTTAAGTATACCCCTAAGTAAATCTGGCTGTCATGACAGATTAGTTTGGCATTATACGGTGAATGGTGATTACTCTGTTAAAACTGGGTATGGAGTGGCAATGAATTTGATGGAGAACGGCGCCCTGGGCAGGAAAGGTCGGGGTGCGCCTAGTGAGCAACGTAAGAACAACTTGATATGGAAAAAGATTTGGACGTTGTAGGTTCCCAAACAAAATTAAATTCTTCATCTGGAAGTGCTGCAACAATGCCCTGGCGGTGCGTCACAATCTTCAACGTCGTCAAATACGAGTCGAAAACATCTGTGGGGTATGTAACACCTTTGATGAATCGGAAAATCATTTATTCTTCCATTGTGATTTCAGCCATCGATTTTGGTTTGGTTCTCCTCTACATATAAACTCTCACGAGTTGGCGGGAGCCGACTTCCTGGAAAGCTGGGATAAAATTTGTACCAGAATCAAGAATTCGGAAAAGAAAGAGGAGATTCTCCAGGAGGTTGCTTTTGGTCTGTGGCGACTCTGGAAAAAAATAGAAATGAAGTGGTTTTCAATGGTGTACACAGACAACACCTGGAAGTCATGACGCTATGGAGAAAGAACATTTCTGAGTACCGTGAGGCCCTGTCCCCGAGTCTCGAGGGAGAATGTCAACTGATCTCCAAACCCCACAAGATGGTGAATCGTTCGTAGTCTCAATGGAAGAAACCTAAATTTGGCACCATTAAGGTGAATACCAATGTGGCCTGGTGCAGGTCTTCTTTGCGAGCTGGAGTGGGATGGGTGGGCCGCGACTTTGCGGGTCTGCTTCAAACTGCTGGAGGATCGGGAACTGGTATATGTCATAGCGCGGCGGCTGCTGAGGCATGTGCTATCCGGAGTGCTCTGATGGCCTGTATCGAAAATGGCTTTGATAAAGTGGTAATTGAATCTGATGCTTTAGTTATTATTCAGATGCTAAAAAAGGATTCTACACAATACTACAGCATTGAATGCATCCTTGGTGACATCGAGATTCTAGTACAGAGGTTAACGTCAGTGACGTTTTCGTTTGTACCTAGGGAGAGCAACCGTGCGGCTCACTCGGTGGCGAAGTTTGCCTTGCAGCAAGGTGGTGATTTTGTTTGGGATTGTATTGGGCCGGAATTTTTGTTTAATGTTTTAGCCCACAATGTAAACATTCCTATTCGTCTTTAATTTATCCTATCTTCGGTTTAAAAAAAAATGTGGTTTATTAAATGTCGTTTGTATTAAGTTTATGTGGTTTATCATAATTTTCATGTATTGATTTAGTGATTTGTCAAAATTTATCAGAATTTAAATATTTTTAGGTTAAAATGTTCATATAATTAATTTAGGATAGTCTACATAATTTTTTTAAAGTTAATTTAAAAAAAAATTAGCCGTAATTCATTCTTTGATAATCTCGGGTTAAAATTTTAAGTCAGAAGAGTTGGAATAGAAAGTATTTTCTGAACTAAAACCTAAATATTTTAGACTAAATATTTTAGGTTTTAGATAATGGAGATGGTCTTATTTCCTGCTGACAGGATTGTCCTTTTTTCGTCATCCAAAAGGTGCTTTTAAACCCCTGATTAGGGTTTTAGAAGCAAAGCGAGGAGTAAGTGAGAACCGCGGACGCACGGGGTGGCCCCTCTCTCTCACACTCCCTCTCTCTCTCTCTCTCTCTCAACCGTCTCAGTCCCTAGGGTTTGGTCGCAGCCGGAATAAAAAATCGAAGGTACTCCTTATCTCCTCGACTTAGAGCTTGATAATTATATTTTCTTGTACAACAAATTCTGAAGCTTTTCAAGTTATTACCTCTGTGTTTCGTAAGTCGATAGTTTTTCATTTGTGGAAAAATCAAAGGGTTTGATTGATGCGAACAGTAATCTGTTTAGATAAACAAGTTGGTAACCTAATCACTGTTGTGGGTTTATTGTTATGATCGAGGGATTCTCTGGTTTCATGTATGTGTGTGTCTAGAAGTTTCTTGGTAGGAGATATGGTCGTTCATATGCTACCAAAACATGCCGCTGCAATGATAACTTCTGTATGTTTTGTATATCCTGTGTATAGGAAAGGTATTATCACTGAGCATATAATCTACATCTGTTGTGAGTGATGATTAATGAATGACCAAAACAGAAGACAAAATAATAATGAGGTATTGTCTAGAAAATTTCCCAGAAGCGAACTTCAATTTGGTGTTGGTGGTACCTGCTGTTTGTGTTTCGTTGGGGTTTTTTTTTAAAGAAAATGAGCGATATTTTGTTCTGTCTAATGTGCAGGAAATGGTTTCATCTGATGATGACCGATTGGCCACTGAGGCTGTGGAGAAAGTGACAGATTCAGAGCAGAAGAAGAAAAAGAAGAAGAAGAAGCATAAGGACAAAGACAGCGATTTTGACAAAAACTTCATGATCAAGCCCCAGAGCTCAACTCCCTCCTTGGACACCTCTCAGTGGCCTATCCTTCTCAAAAACTATGACCGACTCAATGTTCGAACTGGACACTACACCCCTCTACCCTCAGGGTTCTCCCCCCTTAAGAGGCCTCTTGCTGAGTACATCCGATATGGTGTTCTCAATCTTGACAAGCCTGCAAACCCCTCTTCTCACGAGGTTGTTGCTTGGATTAAGCGCATCCTTCGCGTTGAGAAAACTGGCCACAGCGGTACTCTGGATCCTAAGGTTACAGGTAATCTCATTGTCTGCATTGACCGAGCCACACGACTTGTCAAGTCCCAGCAGGGTGCAGGGAAAGAGTATGTTTGTGTTGCCCGCTTGCATTCAGCTGTGCCTGATGTTGCCAAAGTGGCTCAGGCCCTTGAATCTCTTACTGGGGCTGTCTTTCAGAGGCCACCTTTGATATCAGCAGTCAAGAGGCAGCTTAGGATTAGGACCATCTATGAAAGCAAACTTCTTGAGTTTGATGCAGATAAACATTTGGTCGTTTTCTGGATTTCTTGCGAAGCAGGAACCTATGTGCGGACGCTCTGTGTGCATTTGGGTCTGCTGCTTGGTGTGGGAGGTCATATGCAGGAGCTTAGGAGGGTCAGGTCGGGGATTATGGGCGAGAAAGACAACATGGTCACAATGCATGACGTCATGGATGCTCAGTGGGCTTATGACACTAATAGGGATGAGAGTTATTTGAGGAGGGTCATCATGCCTCTTGAGGTTCTCTTGACCAGTTATAAGAGATTGGTTGTCAAGGACTCAGCAGTGAATGCCATTTGCTACGGTGCCAAGTTAATGATTCCAGGGCTGCTCAGGTTTGAGAATGATATCGAGGTTGGAGAGGAAGTTGTGCTGATGACTACCAAAGGAGAAGCCATTGCATTGGGAATTGCTGAGATGACCACTGCTGTGATGGCAACTTGTGATCATGGTGTGGTGGCAAAGATTAAGAGGGTGGTAATGGATCGGGATACTTACCCAAGGAAGTGGGGATTGGGACCAAGGGCGTCCATGAAGAAGAAATTGATTGCCGAAGGGAAATTGGATAAGCATGGGAAGCCCACTGAGAATACTCCGCAAGAATGGATGAGAAATGTGGTTTTGTCTGCAGGTGGGGATTCTATTGTTGCAAGCACTGCTGCTGCGCTTGACACTGAACCTGCTGTGGCAGAGGGAGGAGACCCGCATTTTCTTTTTTTTTTGCAAGACTATCAATTCCTTTCAATTGAAAAAATTCATTACTTGAACGCATATCAAGAATATAATGCTCAAGTTGATATTCAAGTGCCAAGAGGTGACAAGTAGTAAATTCATTCAGATAAAATTGAGCAAAACAAATTAGCTTTTGTTCATTAAAAATCGAGAATGAATCATCCAGGCTCAAACAAACAAAGAAGCAACTGCATTTACCTCATCAAAGCAACTATTTAATTCCACAAGTTGCTAAAGAGCTCCACATGATAATGATAGAAGTTTGTGATTCTTTGAGCTCCACGCCGTGATCTCCGTCGAGTAACATATCCATCATCCATGCTAGGAATCTCAATATCATGCTTGTCACAAAATGAAGACACTTGATCAAGCAAAGGATGAAATCCATTCTCTCTCATGTTTGGTAGTTGTTGCTTACATACCTTGACTAAAGTCATATCATTCACAATCTCTTGATCTTTCTTTTGTAATGCTTATGACAAATCATTTGTAAACCCCAATATAGATTTCATTAAGAATAGGTCAAACACAAATTCGAAAGCTTACATATCTCCCAATGACCTATTTGCTTCTCTTACATTATCTGTGGAACCATCATCAACAATCATTTCAAGCACTTTCACCACGAAACCAAACATGGAAATGATACTAGTCAAGGTACCATAATGTGAGTTCCAAAGTGTGTCACCGGCACGCTTGAGACTAGTTTTTTTTATTTAAACCCCGGCCCGTTATAAGACAATCATTTTCAAAAGCTTCCATAAGATCCTTTTGTAGTTGCTCTCTAAGTGCATCACGACGCATACAAGATGCTTCAACAACAGTAACCACACTATTTGCCAATGTGAAAAAGTGGCAATATCAACATTTTCCTTTGCCACCGCAACAAGAGCTAGTTGAAGTTGATGTACAAAACAATGAACATAAAAAGCACAACGATTTTCTCTTAAAAAGCACAACGATTTTCTCTTAATATCCTTGACTTAAGACCATTGAACTCACCTTTCATGTTACTAGCTCCATCATAACCTTGTCTTCGTAGCTTGGAAATACTCAATTTATTTCTTGAAAACAATTGATCAATGGACTTCTTTAACTCAATTGAAGTAGTCTCGGCCACATGTTGAACTTCCACAAACCTTTCGATTACTTCCCCTCTTTTATTTACATAGCAAAACCCCACCACCATTTGCTCTTTAATTGAAACATCACGTGATTCATCAACTATTATAGAAAAAAATGCACCATTCATATCACAGAGGATAGCATCAATTGTTTCAATAGCACACACATTAACAAGGTCCTTTTGAATTGAAGGAGCAACTAACTTTAGGTTATCGGGAGCATTTTTAAGACAACGGCCTTAATTTTCTCATCATGATCCGCGAGAAATTGCAAGAGCTCTATATAATTCCCCCTATTATCTGAAGCTTCTTTTTCATCATGCCCACGAAAAGGAAGACATTGCCGCAATAAAAATCTTGTGCAATCAATTGCCGCATTCAACATAATGCAATAGTCAACATAGCTTTGGTCAGTATGCTTGATCAAAACTATTTTCGATATGTTGCTTTTGATTCATTAGATCCAAATATTTTTTGGCTAACTTTATTGTGAACATTAGAAACACCTCATTCATGCCTCCTAAGTAATTCTAACCATTTCTTCCAATTTTTGAACCCTTTCCCAACAAAGACATCATTACTTCCTTGTTGAAAATTGCAATTAAATAGATAGCAACAAATACAATATGCGGCATCCTTTTTGATACTATACTCTAGCCAATGGAACTCATCATACCACTTGGAATTAAAGCGTTGAGGAACTCTGGAAAAAAATCTTTATGGAAAAGGCTTTAGTATAGGCTGACAATATGCCTTTTGTAGATAAGCTCTTTTGACTTCATCTCGAATATTAGGCTCATAATCTGACATTGGAGGTCGAGTACCAAGATCCGCAGGAAGAGCATTCAAAATTTCTTCTAACTCACTTTCTTTTGAACTTGAACTACCCGGATTGTTCACCGTAGGATTTGTGCATTGTTTCTTATAATATCGCAACATAACTGTATGATTTGAATAAAGTCCACACCAATTTTATTAGGAATTACTCAAATTTGATAAACTCACTCAAACCAACTCCTCACACAAAACTCAACAAATTCAATAGTCTAAATAAAAACATTCATCAATTTATCAACACAAATACTAAAAGTCTAAAACACATATATCAACTAATCTAAATAAAAATTATATATGATTCACATCAATAATCAAATGTAAGTATTCATGAAAGGAATTTAATTTGAATAAGTTATGAAAAACTTACTTTGAAATCACAAGATGAAATTTAGGGTCGTCAAAACGATCGTCGAAGTGGAGTGCTAAGAGTTTAGGCGTTAGAGATGGAGTTTGGTGATTGGAATTTGTGAATGGGAATTGAAAATTTGGAATTGAATTTGGGTGGCTGCCGGGCTGGGGTTTGCTGTTTGCTGCTGCTGCTCGAACGGGACACACGGATAGAGTCTTTTCTTTTTTAAAGTTGGAGAGTATCTTTTTTTTTTTGGCTGTTTTTAGTTTTTTTTTTTTTTTTTTTTTTTTTTTTTTGCTGTTGGTCTTTGTTTTTTTTTTTTTTTGGTTCTTGGTGTTTTTTTTTAATTAGACAAAATGACTAAAATTACGTCGTTTTGACAAAGTAATATTCATTAAAAAAAATAATAATAAGAGTCACTCTTCTTTCAGATATTTTATCAAACAATTAGAGGGAAAGTATGAAACCAACTCTAATCTTCAAAATGGCAGCACCTAAGTATCCATGGAAGTTCATGAGGTCAACTGACCCCAGCCCCTCAATGCATCCACCACTGGCTCCAGGATATATCCTCCCATGCATGTTCATATTCTTGTAGAACTCACCACGTGATAAGTATCAAGCACTGAGGTAGTGGTATAGAAACATGATGATATATCTTCGGTTGTATGCAACTCTGTTGCCTCAGTAGCTGACATCATTTTTCTATCACTAGCTTGCATCATTCTGCAATATTTCTGTACCAGGATTGACTATTAGGTTCAAACAGAGAAAACGGATGAAAATAGTGTCAATTTCCATTTTGGTTCAGGAA